ATCTTCAAATTAAATCTAAGCACTTTGCCTAAAATGGCAATTTCATAGTAATTATGAATAGTCATGGATAATGCACATATGAAATTTCCGTAATTTATAGAACTCTTTTTCATAATTAAACTGACATTAAGATGGGAACTAAATAAAAATATTAATATCTTGTTCCAATTAATGGATCGATATAAAGATAAATTAAGGATACAACTATTTACAGCCACAATTTTTATATATTCATGCCCACTGAAATATTAAAATTTTAAAAAATTACAATTGTCATCCACGTCATATTCCAATATTGTCCATATTGAATTCATTCATTTAAACACTATACATCCACACAAATTTTATCCCATTTTAAATACATCCATAATACAATTTCAAAATTTTAAAAATTACTATATTCATCCCCATTATATATAATATCAACCTTCTTACAATTCAATAAGGGATAATTACACCAGAAGCTCCAAACTTTTGAAACATTAGCAGACTTTTCCCAAACCTTTCATTTGTTGCAGCCGTCATCCCTAACCTTTCCAAACGTTGCATGTGAGGTCCTTTTGGATGATTTTCGTAAAAAATTCCGTTAGTTGACCATCAAACTAAAATTTGACCACTTTTTAATCAATTTTAAAAGGGCAAAATGGTAATTTTCTGTTCACCACATTAAACAATTAAAAAACTAAAATCAAAAACCCCAAAAAAAAGAAGGAAAAATAGAAATGGATCTTCTTCTTCTCCCTCCACCCCACCCCACTCCATGCCACCCTCCTCAATCTAAAACCACTGGATTGCTTCATTCACCTTCTCCTTCCTTACCAAACACCGCAACATATTCTTCTCCTCCTGCTATTAATTCTCCAAAACAGTCGGGTCATCGAAACTGGTTTTGGTCCAAACCCAATCCACCCACAATTAAAACTGGAATTCAGGTTTAGTCAAATTCTTCTCAATCAAAGTCCATGGGCATTAATGAAAGCTTCAAGAGGTGTGTGAGAGATTCCAGTGTTCTTTGGCAAAGTTTGGGAACTACAGTTGTCGGAACCTTCATTGTTGCCTCTACTGTGTATGAGACAGCACTAAGGTGCCTAGTTAATGAAAATAAATTATGGACAGTAGCGGCCTTCTTGAGGAGATCCACCACCTCGGACTCAATCAAGGATTTCTTGGTCTTGGTATTGCCCTTGATTATGACATCAGCTTCTTCTTCTTCTTTGATATCCACGAAGTCTTCGGGTTGTCGGATTCAAAGGTGGAGATATCGGGTACTGGGTTTCCCGGTTGGCCCAAATGGGGGTCGAAGTCTGGTGAGGCTGGCATGGAGGTAGAGGTAGTCTAGTAGAGGTGGAGGTGGAGGTGGAGGTGGCGATGGTGGTGGTGGTAATTGATTTTGGGTTTGGCGTTAGGGTGGGGGTGGGGTTTAGGGAAGAAGATGACCAGCTTCTTCTTCTTATTCTTTTTTTAATTTCTTATTTTTCCTAATTTAATTTCTCACTTATTTTAATGTAATAAATGAAAGTTACTATTTTACCCTTTCAAAAATATTAAACATATGGTCAAAGTCAAAATTCTTAGCCAACTAATAGACATTTAGATGAAAATCGTCCAAAAAAGCCTTCGCCGCAACGTTTCGAAAGGTTTGGGATGATGGTTACAACAAATAAAAGGTTTGAGGAAAGTCTACTAATATTTTAAAGGTTTGGGGCCTCTGCTGCAATTTTCCCATTCAATAATTAATTCTATAGACAAAATATTATATTCAAAATAAAATTAAATGTTCCATAAGTGTGTTATTTGTCACATGAGCTGGTCCATTACATTTGATTGACAAATATTTTTGTATTCGATAAAAATCAACTTTTTGAGGTAATGTGTAGTTTTGAAATAAAATATACTTTATATATGAATTTGAAACAAAGGATGGAGTTCATATACTTTATTTGAGTCTAACCATGTGAGATCTCTAAAGTGGATCTACTAGATTACGGTTCCAAAATCATAAGTGTTGGCCATCATCGCGACAATAATTTGCATTGAAATTGTAAGCTCAAAATCAATAATAATAATAATAATAATAATAATAATAGTGTTATCATTACATCTTTGATATAGCTACATCATTTTCTACTAAAGACCTAAAAAATTGCATCCTAACTTGATATGGTGTATCCCAGCCATCTACACATGGATAGTGGAACTTGTACCAATTACAAGCAATAGGTGGCATTGGTCCACTAGTATGCCAACTCACCTGCACACACTTACAAGGAAATAGCACAAGTAAAAGTTGTTTAGTTAATTAAAAATTTAGTTGAATAGATATTTATTGAGGCAAAATGGTAGCCATTGATGATTTCAATTGCAACAATCTTATGAGATGCGACCACAAGAGGTTCATTTCAAAGTGGAAGAAATGTAAGACATTGTTGTCTACTTAAGTGAACAAAGAATAACCTTATATTTTGAAGCAGTAACATGACCTATAGTCGGCATGATCGTCCAATATTTACGACTTGTAGAACCATCAAAAAGAGAAAGTGAACGAATCAACTGATGGACCATATCAACATTTTTGTAAAGTCTAGAGTATTCATCAAAATGAGATTCAAGCTCTTTTATTAGGTCTTTTCCGACCAAAGGCCAATTATCTTCACCTACACCTACAATATTAACCACAACTTGAAACTACATTTACCATCTGAGGCTACATCCTTCAAATCAGCTATGTAAAATCTCAAACAATGAATCCAAATAAGCTATGGACTTTGATTTATGTGCCTGATAAATTTTTATTTTTGTCGAATTGGAGGTTGGATTGATAGTTTAGGCTGACTTGAAGGCATAATGTAACTATCCAATTGTTGTAACATATTGTTTTGTCCAAACAACACCAACTCAAAATGTGATGGACCTTGACGAGTGGATATATCTACTTGAAGACGGACAACCTTTGTGTTAGTTTTGATTTGTGGATCAACTAAGGATGTAGAACTCGGACTAGCAATCTCTTTCAGTTTCTGTATGATTTCTTCCTTCACATGATCATTATTATCTTGATAACGCTTATGAATCATTGATACACAATTAATCTTAGATGTGTTACCTTGGTCAAGAGAAACTAGATCAAGTTTTTTCCAGCGAAAGTGTACTCTTGATAGAGGGATGGGCCAAGATGCTATCTTGTTCTCTAAAATATTATGGGCACATGATATCCCATGCGTTTTTCGTTTAACACATCTACAAGCTACTTTATCAATTCCCAAGTCCTTAGCTCACTTAGACTCTTGGAGTATCCAATTCATTGCAATTCTTGGTGTAAACCCCTTAGCTCTTTAAACAAGATAGGTTTGAAATTATGTTGGATAATATGTATGTTTTAGCTCTAATAATGCATGAATTCTTGTCGATGAACATTTCCTTGAGAGGACCCAAAATGCCTGTTATGTTTTGCATGTACCGATTCGGCCTTACCATATAAATAAAATAATAGTATTATAATGAGACTATGAATTCACAAAACTATAAATAAATTCAAGCATGATTATCTAACTAAAACTGAACATTAATATAAGTAATTTTAACTGTTATTTGTCGTGTTTCCAAGGTGCATGTATGTAGATTAGTCCAAGCTGTTGCATACTTTTCGTTATACTGAAGAAGCCATAAATTCATAACATAATTGATTGGTTTTGTAAACTGTTGAAATTAGATTCCAAGAGATTTAGGTTTTGCTTGTACTCTGCTATAAATGTTGATAGCACTAATAAATTCTACATGTGTATAAAGGCATCTCATTGGTCTTTGTCTTCATTTTTTTTGTCGACACATTATTTGAAATATGCTATTTACATAAAATATTAGTTGCTATTGGAAATATTTTTTCAATAGCCTTCAGAAGAACTAGCTCTTTGTCAATAAAAATAACACTCTGCATTTTTATATCATCCATTAGAGTCTTCAATCTCCCCAAAGTCCACGTGTAATTTTCCTCATGTTCTTTTTCCAAGTATGCAAAAGTAATCAAAAAGTGACACCTATTATCTCCAACAACTGTAGGCAATACCCATTTGTCTTATAGGTGCAATACATAATTATCATACGAGGAAAAGTCTGCAATAAACAA